ACGTGGAGAACATATACCTGTGCAGAAAATGGCTTATCTTTTGAGATGTTTTAACTATATATGATGTAGGCACCATCTCCCCATCGACTTGTATGCGACCACATTTGACTGCATCAACCTGAGAAACAAAGTTCCACACAGTAAGGCATGAAAACAAGGAAAAATCTATATTTTGATTCAAACAATACAATAACTGACAAAAGCAGAGACCAAATGATCACATTAAACAAGAAAAAGACCATACATAGTACTCGTATGGTCGGCCTTTAAACTCTTCAGTAAACAAGTCGACAACGGATTTGCCGGCCCATCGATTCTTAACCTGCAAATTGTAGATATAAAGTTCCAATTACGAGTATGAAATTAGATTGAATAGTCGCACATTTGTGACAGTTTAAACTGAAAAATAAGAAAGGATGCCCATAAGGCACTTACATGGGCAATGAACTCGAAGTAGTAAGGTCTAACGTGCCGCCTCCCTAAGCAAAGAACTCCGATTAATCCAAACTGGAAACTAAAACGAAAAGAAAATCCCCAAAAGAGGGCTTTTAGTTTGTACCATTGTGAAATATATAATCGCATCGCTGAGGGGCATTGGCTGGGGTTTGCCATACGATCTCTCCTTCTCCCATGCCCTCTTCTCCCCTTTTCCTTTTGCTCGTCATTTTGCTGCTTTAGGCGGCTTTACGGAGGTCACATCGACAGTATTGGCTATTGGATGAGCCCGCCAAATAGTCACAGTGTGGATGACCGACTAAAACGTCACCGTTTAATTCCATAAGCCAACCGAACCGAACCGAACCGAACCGCAGAAAGCGCCAGTGGTGCGGTGTGGTGTGGTGTGGCGTCGTGACGTGACATAAAGTCAAGAAGACAGCATCGATTTCGAATCGGTCTGCCTTAGCGAGCGCTTACTTTGTCTTCTTCCTCAGTTCAATAACTTAAAATAATATTTATAGATTCATAATTTGGGAAAGAAATATATATATATCGAATTTCTTATTGAATAATATTCTTCTTTCTGAAAAGCCTGCAGCTGAGAGGAAACTCTGCCTTGGCCTTGCCTGATCGACGGCTTCACAAGGTCTCTTCTCTCTTCTCTTGATTGTCGTTTTCTTTTCACTATATTCAAAATTACTTCCCTTTTCGGATCTTTCATGGTGTTCACTCCTGCAATTGCTTCAGCTTCGTTGCTGTTGGAATTCCTGTGAATTTGTTCTAGGGCACCGGATATTGGGCCGCTTCTCTGATCAATTCAAGGTCGGGATCCAACACTTTTACCTGATTGTGAGATACTCAACTCAGATGCCGGAGGACGATTTGATTGACATTAAGTTCAGGCTCTACGATGGTTCTGATATTGGACCATTTCGATACTCGTCCGCATCGACAATAGATGTGCTTAAGCAGAGAATAGTGTCCGATTGGCCTAAAGGTTCCAGCTTAGCTCTTCATCTTCTTCTTATTCTTTTCAATTATAAGTACTCAATTTGTAATCATTTCTCACATTTAGGTTTCTGTATGTCCTTTGAATGCAAACGCTAAGTAGACTTCCGGCTTTCCTAATTGCATGTTCTAGAGTCTGTTGATCCTCCTTTTTTTAGTACTATAGGCTGCTAGCTTAAGAAATATATTTTTAGGACTAATATTTTATTCTTGGCAGACAGCTCTGCGTCGATATTTTATTCTTGATTTACGCGCTCGTTCAGAGGACGCATGTTCAATTCTTTGATGTGTGTCGTTTACCATTAGGAACTCATGCCTATGTTTGAGGTTTCTCTGAAGAAGTGTCTTTCTTTCACTGGGCTTCTAATCTTCTTCTTTTTTCCTCTGCATTTGTTTTCATATTGATTCTCCTTTTCCCTTTTGGGACGATTTTTCTTTACCTTTTAGGCAAAACAATCACTCCAAAGGCAGCCAGTGAAGTAAAACTGATAAGTTCTGGAAAAATTTTGGAAAATAACAAGACTGTTGGTCAGTGTAAATTACCTTTTGGTGAGTTCACTGGAGGAGTTACTATAATGCACGTTGTTGTACAGCCATCCCTAGCAAAAGCTAAAACAGGTGATTACATTTGAGATCTTAGCTATAAATATAATTTTCTTGTTCATAGATTGTTCCTTTTAAAATTTTACAGTAATACGGTATATTTTCCATTTTGTCCTATACCCAATGGTTTTTCAAATACTCTGGATGTAGTTCGACAAGTCTATATAAATGAGGTCTTAGGAGTTGGAACCGTATTCTGAACTGATACAGTTATCCATTTGTTGGTCTTTTTTGGCTTGAACTTATGTCAATACTCTTCTGATGCTAATCACTAACAACTGTTTTTGTTGCTCTTTCTGAAGTTAATGAGATATAACAATTTCAAAATCATTCTTAGAGTATTCAATCAGCTTTGACAAGTGCTTTTGAGTTATAAGTCTGACTTCGCTAACTAGAATGCCAAATCTTAGCAAGTGGTCCCATGAGTTAGCTATCATGAGCCTTTCAGAGAACCTTCTTTCTTCATTTATTCTGCCGCAGATGTTATCCCTTTTTTCTAAGCTTGTCCTGAACTACTGCCTGTGGCTTTTAAATGAAGAAGTGTTTTTGAGTGCTTTCTTTGAATGGTTAGGACAATAACTGTTTCAGGTTGTAGCTAAACCATTTCATTTAACCCAAAGTCATAGGATCATCTCATTGACTATTGTCTCTACAAAGTATGCAGCGAAAAGTGAAAGTAGTCCATGGGTTGGCCTAGTGGTTAAGAAGGCCAAATGAGAAGAGTTGAAGTGTGTATATGGTCCTTAAATTTTGTGTCGATTTGGTTCATAAACTTTTAAAATTACAAATTTCAATTTATAGATCAATTAGTTTTAAAAAATTTCAAATTTTTTGGTGACCTAAACTCAAAGTTTAAAATTTAAAGATTTATTAGATACTTTTGAAAGCTGAAGGACCAAATAAACACAAGTTGAGAAACTAAACTTGTAATTTAAGATAGACATTTTCTAAGGGCTTAGGCTGGTTTATTATTCGGATCTACTAGTAATGATATAAATTCTTGTCAGCCTTGCAGATTTAACTAAAGATTCAAAATATCCACTCCTACCCATTCTTATTCTTTTCCTGATTTGGCCCTTTTCTCTACTCTTGCTTCTTCTCTGTTCAATATTTTTTCCTTTTTATCTTTTTTTTTTTTTCTTTTCATATTCTTTTCTCATTGGAAAAACTAGAATAAACTAGAGAAGAAAGAACTTGGATTGTTGTGAGGGCCAAGGAAAATCAAAAAATCTTCCAGATTTATTTATTTTATTTTGTTAAGTTTACAGTTAATTAACTGTTAATTACTATTAAAATCTGTTATATTATTTTTATTATACAATATAGAAATTATGTATTAACTAGCCTTATGTAATTGACTTGCTCTAATTTCCATATTGCAAAGATTTAATTTTGATTAATACATTAACTAATATCTCACGATTACATATGCTTACTTCTGATTCTATAAGAACCTCTCTTATTTCCATGACTATAATTTTCTTTAATTGCTTAGAATTTCTTTATGTTTCACCTTCACATATGATTACTTGGGATTCTATGAAAACATCGTTTATTTCCATGAAGGTTGACAAAGTTGTTATGAAAGCTAAAACATACCTCTGATTCCAAAATAAAGAGGGTATAGTCAACCAAATTTAAACTAAGTTTGCCAATGTGGCAATCTAGGATCTCATCTGTGGATTTGGTTTCTTCTGTTTGATTATTAGTTGTTCTTTCTTGATTCCATTGAATGCATATCCAAACAATATCCACAGCTACGTATGTACCCCTTGACGAGCAAGAGAAACAGAATGAAAAATAGAAAGTTACCTGTATAAATAAGTTTATGTGACTGCTATGGTTTTCTAGTCAATTCTTGAAAGTGATCATTGTAAAACTAGATTAAATCATGTGGTCACTATCCAAATTTGTTTTTCCGATGAGTCTGGTAATTCTTTGCTATGGTATCAAATATTTACTGAGATATGTTGATGATACAGAGAAAAAGACTGACAATTCGCAACAGAAGATCGTGTGCTCCTGTTCCATACTTTGAAACACAACACGAATGATATGATTCGTTTGGTAAATCATCTTTCAAAACGTGGTTGCTATCGGCCATATTCTTGTATATAAATGGTTTCTGGTAAATTGGTAATGATGTGTTTAGGAACATTGACATGAAGGACATGTTTCTCTTTTATGTGATTGTGAAGTTTTCATATGATATTTCAAATTCTTTGGTTACTAAGGTCATGCTGTATTCTGTTTTTCCCATGTGCGTTTCTCTTTTGATACAGGAGAAGCTAGGTGATCTCTCTTAGAGGGTTTGCAGATAGAAGAAGAGGGCTATTTATAGATTTTGAGATGCGTTCAAAGGTCTAGAATACTCCTTAGGGGTACTGCTCGAGTACTAAGGCAATGAGGGTAATTTTGGAAAGTTGCAAGAGTATTTCTATCCCTATACTTTTTTCCCCATCAAAAGAATATATATACTTCTTCCAATTTGAAACATGCTTTTGGAAAGGTGTTTGTGTTCTGGTATGTTACCGTCAAATTATCACATCTAAACAGCTCAGCGGACCTTACTTAAATATATTTAATTTAGCATGCCATTGTGACCAAGCTGCTGCATTGAAATACCCAAAGGAGGCTTATAGCCAATGAAGAGTCACAATATTATGACTACCAATTAAATTTTAAATGGAATTAGAGGTTCGAGAACCAACTCATAATTCACATCATAAAAACAAAACGGACAATAAGCGTAGCAAGGTATTCCCGATTCCACGCCCATTGATGCTCGACCTGCTGACTCAGAAGAAATTCAACCGCAAACACTTAAACGACATCGTATGGTTCCTAAGCGCAGCGACGTCGGACCAAATGCCAGAGAGAGTGCTGAAGACCGCGTCCTTTCTCCACCTCAATAATATTGATAGATACGTCAATTTAGAAATAACAATAATAATAATAATAATAATCTTCTGGCTGATTTTGAAAGAACCGCCTCCCAACCTCTTCGCTCTGGTAGTCTCCTCTTTTGACTTTCTAAAGAGTTTATTTCCTTTCCGGATCCTTTTTGGTATACACATCCATAATCCTTTTAGCTTCTTTGCTATTGGAATTGCTGTGCGCCTCCTAGGGCACCGGATTACTTGTGCGCGTTTCCTTATCAATCCGACGTCGGGATCACACACTCGAACAATTTCCGAGGAATACTCTAATCAGATGCCGGAGGACGATTTGATTGACATCAAGTTCAGGCTGTACGATGGTTCTGATGTTGGACCATTTCGATACTCCTCCGCCTCGACGGTTGATGTGCTTAAGCAGAGAATAGTGTCTGATTGGCCCAAAGGTTGGAACCTTACTCTTCATTATTCTCCCTTTGTAGATACTTTATTAGCGTGATTTCTGACATTTGGATATCTTTCATCATTCTTTCACAAAAATGCATATGTGATTACGGTGTTCTCTATTCTATGTAGCAGATCTCTTGATCTTTTTTCTTTTAAGTCCCTTCCTTTACTTGTGTGCTTCTGGACGTATGTGTAATTGTTAATATCTATCGGTTCTATTAGAAGCGGTTGAAATCCAACTCTAACACACGTAGTTTGGAGTCTCTTATTAACATACTTCATTCTCTAGATTTCTCCTGAACACGCTCTACGAATTGGTCAATATATTAATTCCTTTTTTCCTTTTACCTTTCGGTTTATTTTTATTTTTTTTGTTAGGCAAAACAGTCACTCCAAAGGCAGCCAGTGAAGTAAAACTGATAAGTTCGGGCAAAATTTTGGAAAATAATAAGACTGTTGGTCAGTGTAAATTACCTTTTGGTGAGTCCACAGGAGGAGTTATTATAATGCATGTTGTTGTACAACCATCCCTAGCAAAAGCCAAGACAGGTGATTTTCGTTGTGATTTTAGTTATATATATAATTTCTTGTCCATAGATCGTTCCTCTTTAAATTTTACTTTTATATGTTTTCGTTTACCTTCTCTGCATTATTCTATAGTTTGCCAACTTGTATGGTCGTGGTCTTGGGAGTTGGAATTGCCATCTGAATTCCGGTAATTCTTTGTCTATGTTTTACCAACATTTATTTAGGTGACATACATACGAAGGTTTCCTTAGGATCCTGTATACCTCCAGCTACAAACACACGTATGCTCAACCAGATAAAGAACTTTCCATTGATCACTGGAAAATAAAGAAAGAAAGCCTCCCAACTAAGAAATTCATGTGGGACATAAGAAAACTGCTTCATGTTATATAAGTACAAGAAGAAGCCCAAGGAAGCCTTAGAAGAAACTTTATTAAAGGAGTAATTACTAAATCAATTTGAGATCAAACTCTGGAAAGGAGAATGGCTTTCAGCTAAATTCACCTCTTTTTTTATAATGAAAAACGAACTTTGATTGAAAAAAAATTAAAGAGTAAATTAAGGGATCTTTTTTTTCTTTTCTTTTTATAGGAAACATTATCATTCCATTGATGTTATAAAAGGCATTAAAGATCGTTACTATAAAGCTCATCAGAAGGAGCTGTCAAAAAACTAACTGGCTGAATAACAAAGGGCTCCAATCCAAGAAAATCAGATCCAAAGGATAATTACAAAAAATCTTAGAAAAAGGCATTGGAGGAAAGTAACAAATCTTACAGAGTACCGGACTTTTTTCCAAGACCTCTCTACCCACTAAAAATTATCCTATGTCTCTCCTCAAGCCAAACCCCCTCATAAGGTAGCAAAAAAACAAAGAGCTCTAAAGAGTACAACCCTAAGACCCCAAAAACTTGTTCCAAATTGTAATAGCAACCATTGTCTCTGAGAATGTGATCCAAGCCCTCTGACTCCCTCTACAAATCTCTACACGGAATCACTCAGGGTCCATTTTTAGAATGGAGACTACTTGCTCTCAATAAGGAAACACCAAAGTGTTTGGCCTTCAAGACCTCGTTATAAATGCCCATATAACATCCCAAGTCCACCACTAGCAAATATTGTCCGCTTTGGCCCATTACGTATTGTCATCAGCCTCGTTATTTTAAAATGCGTCTACTAAAGAGAGGTTTCCATACCTTTATAAGGAATGTTTCATTCTCTTCTCCAACTGATATGGGATCTCACAATCCACCCCCTTGGGGGCTAGTATCCTCTTTGGCACACCGTCTGGTGTTTGCTTCTAATACCATTTGTAATAGCCTAAGTCCACTGCTAGCAAATATTGTCTGGTTTAGCACGTTACATATCGTTGTCGGCTTCATGGTTTTAAAACGAATCAGCTAGGGAGAGGTTTCCATACCTAAGTCCTGGTCAGCTTAGAAACCACCTCCCACCCAATCAAATGTCAACACTCATCCAACTTAATAACCCTTCGAAGATAATCTCTTGTAAACTTCGCACAAACTTTTACTAATAGCCACTGGGACCCTAAACACAAATAAGAAGCCACTCAACAGTGACTGGTCCAAACTTTTCCAAACTACAATCACCCTTAGAAAAGAACGCCTTTTTCCACTCAACATTAACTTTTCCTGGTCCTCTTGGTTTCCTCACTGCCTTTTTCCACCCTTGATTCTTGATTTTTTCTTGGGAAGTTTGCCTTACTGAAAATTTGTTCCATTCTCGTTAGTGATTGTTGAAATCCATCTGGAGACATAACACATAGGACTTCTATAATTCCCCTTTGTTTTGGTTTTGCATACCAGTTCAATCCCCCCCTTCATATAAGTGCTAGAAACCAATTGATTTCACATCTTCCAGGCTACTGTAAACCTCCAACACCATTTAGGCCCATTTAGCTCAGAGAGCCTCAATTTATCATTTTTTAAGTTGCCCATACACAGCTCCAGCCTCAGACTGTTTTTATCCCACTACGTTTCTGATCTTTTACACTCGCATGTGCTTTCAGAAGTTATCTTTCAGTTTCGCTGTAGACTTTTTTTTCGTATTCAAAACAGTTACGGAAAATAGAGGAATAATGGATAAGATGGAACAATGCAAAATTTTGCATTTTTTTAGAGCTAATTTGCGACTAACAGGCCATCTATTTAACCAACATTTAGTTGTCAATTTAAATTGTAGAATACGAAATTTCAACTTGGTGGCTAACTTGCATTCATGGACCTTTTTTACCATTAAGCTAATGTGTGGAGGCTAGAAGTTGCCTTTTGGAGCTGGAACACAGTTTGCCATAAGGCCATCTTTAAAATTACTTTTCTTAGAAACATATTCATCTGTTCTAAATCATTCTACTGTAAATTATTTGTTTGTTAAGTTAAGCAATTAGGATTTGCTTATTATATTTGTACATTCAATGCCATTAAATCATATTACTTAATCGTCTTGTAGCCTGCTTTCTAGAATTTGTTTGTTGGTGATTTAAAATAATCATATTGCTCAAAATGTACCTAATTTCTAGCATTGAACAAATGCGCTATAAAATAAAAACATGAACGGAACTCATCATAATATTTCAATTTAAAATCAATCGATTCCTAATTCTGTCATCTATTAAATTTCTTGATGGGTGCACTTCTGTATTAAATCCTCATTACTTAAATATGTGAATAATGATCCCTCTGAACAGAGAAAAAGATTGACGATACATCACCCCAGAAGGTTGTCTGCTCCTGTTCCATACTTTGAAACACAATCCCTGCGATTCAGCCTCATTCTCGTGTATAAATGGAATTGGGTAAAGAATTGTTTCTTTAGGCTCTTGCTCTGGATGCTGTAGATGCAACGGAAGACCTTCATTTTTATACAATCCTTGCATTCTTTCTACCATTTCTCAATTCGTCAGTTACCATCACACCTAAGGGTGTGGGTTTGAATGATACATAGAAGAAACCAAACCACATTGTAATATAAAAGATATATCTACAAAATTGGTCAGTAAATGTGTCCACTGGAAACTTCTTGCAGGAATAATGATTCGGTTGATTGCATTCGGTTTCAATTTACAAGACTTTCTTCAGTTTGATACCTCTCCCCTACACGGAATTTAGAAGAAACCAAACCACATTGTAATATAAAAGATATATCTACAAAATTGGTCAGTAAATGTGTCCACTGGAAACTTCTTGAAGGAATAATGATTCGGTTGATTGCATTCGGTTTCAATTTACAAGACTTTCTTCAGTTTGATACCTCTCCCCTACACGGAATTTACAGTAATTTTGCAGGAACAGCATCGACGGTATTCGTTTACAAGTGCCTAGCTTGGCAATTGCCACGATAGGCGTGAGAGAATTCGGTGATGAGGAAGGTGCCGCCAAAAGAATGTTAATGGTAACTCCAGAGCTCCGTTTCTACAAGGAGCTAACGTTTTTCCAGTATTCTTATCTTATCTAGCAGCTCTTGAATGGTGTTGGATGCTTCCTGTAGAGGCCCAGGGCAAGAACAATTTTATTGCAAGACAAAAGCAAGCAGGGAAAGACGACTAGATCGGTGGTAACCTCACCTGGAGCTTCTTTCGCAGATTTCTCTCCTCAGTTTCTCTTCGATCTCTCTCCTCTGAGAAAATATCTATTAGGCTTTCTTGTTCTTTATTCAATTCCTCAATTTTAAGCTCTGCTGCTTTAAGCTGGATCACATTAGGGAACAAATTAAATTTCAAGAATGTTACATCGTTTAAGCCTTATAATTCGTGAAAATCCTATTGGAAACTAAGATAAGTTTGCATCATTCTACGACAGCGAAAAAAGAAGACCCTCAGTTTCTTATTCCCCAAGTTCAAAATCTCTACTGGCGTATAATCTGCAATTGACTAACGCGTTTTCCCCAACAAATGACTAAATGGGGCAAACACCAGGTAATGCTAGCACTATCAAATTGAGTTCCCAAAATAAATTCATCCTACCCACGACGAGAGGAATGCAATTTAATTGATAGATCCATCACAGAAAAGCATTCACCATTTGATTCAGCAATACATACTAGATAGAACATAAATAGAATGCGCACCTGAGCCTCAAGTGATTTACACCTATCTCTTGCATGCTGCAATTCGTTGAGATCAGCTTCCTTTCTCTGTAATCTGCGAAAGGGATAGACATGAGGCGCCAACATTTACTTCAAGGCATCCAGACAATGCCAATTGCTATATAAGCAGAAGAAAGAACGCAGACCTCTCCTTCAATTCTGCATTTTCTTCCTTCACCTTCTGTAGCATGTGGAACTCAGAACTTGAAAGGGAACGCTCATTAGTGTTTACATCTCCTCCCTGCCAGAGTGGAATGAAAACTTAAATCAACCTGTTCCAAGTTTATATAGAAAAACATAAATAATTTCTCCAGGTGCATTTGATTACCATTCACATTACAGAAAGCATGGGCACAAGCAGCAAGCATAAAAACATGAAGATTTAATGTGGTGTATTTTCATAAATCCAATTTGACGAGTTATTTAGTTCAAGGAATTGAAAAAAGTGTGAAATAAAATGTAAATTTAAGGTAAGGTACCTAAACCTTGGGGCCATGTAGAATGCATAGAATTTGGAAGAAGTATCTACTGTTCCATCTATTTTATGCCAGCCAGTTAAGGTTTTTCTTCCACTTGGATATGAGAAACAAAAATAAAAATATAATATACCTTCAGTTGGGGTCCTCTTGAGCCCGATCCAACTTCCTGAGCTTGACTGACTCCTCCATTTGAAGACGCTTCCATCGTCGCTGAAACATCATTTCCATGAGGTTCCTTCTCATGAAACGTCCCATTGCCAATACTGTTTGCCTGTCCTCCATGCAGGCTATCCACCCAAACTTCTCGTGGAGAAGGTGATGGTGGCTTAGAAGATGGTCGTGTCCTGGATTGCTCAGGGGCCATACTGCTGTTGTTGTCTTTACTTGAATCCCCATTCACATATCTACAGTTTTTTGTTTTCTGAAACTTTTCTGAATCTTTTCCTGAGTAGACTTTATCAGGTGTCTTTCCACTTTTCTTTCTTGATTGAGGTGAAGATTGCAAAGAATAATCATCGGGGGAACTTTCTACAAAAGTAGGGTAAACATGTCAGAGGGCCAATGGAATTGACTTGGTGGCAGATGACACTCCATGATAACATTTAGCACACATCATCACTCACATCACTGGAAAAGAAATGGATAAACAATTGGTTTTGCAACAAATTGTCCCTAATCAAAGAAATGTTTGTGACTGTTTTAGAAGAAAAGCTCAAACGAAAACACCGATGTACCTCTATCCGGAGACTGATTGGTAAATTTATTAATTCTTCTTGGAGCATAGCCGATCTTATGACAATAGGAAGCCCTAAAGGACAAAATAATAGGTTCAGGAATGGATAACAGATGAAATTGTGCCACCTAGTGATTAACCATAGTAACAAACCAGTAAGTCTTCTGCATCTGTATCAACCGTGCCTCAAGTCTTGCAAGTACAGTTGTTCGCTCAAAACCCTGCTTGTCGTGGGCAGGTTCAACAAAATTTGCTTCTAGAACACCTGCAGCATAATTGAGCTATCAGAACATGGACCACATCAGATTTCCATTTTTTCCATTTTTTCCATTTTTTCCATTTTTTTATTAATCTTCTATTGATAAGTGAATTAATCAGTAAATAAATATGCCAAACAGTACCTATAACTCCACGACCATCACTTCCCGAAGCATTCCAAAGCCTCCAAAATGGCTGGCAAATAAAAAAATTTAATCAGAAACATTAATGACTCAATTCATATTTAACATGGGGGGAAAAGCAGAATTGCATAATCAAAAGTGTACTTCTCGGAAAGCCCTGAAAATCAATTATAAATGCAAAAAATATGAAAAAACTAATGGTTTACATGTTGCGCCTGAAATCTTCAACAAGCATATTATAATTTTTATGTTCCTTTCCAGCCATAGCTTTAAAGGAAGATCTAGAATCCTTTGGGTCAACATTGTCAAAACTATTAGGTTCTGAAATTTGGCACGAAAGAGACAAAAGGATGTTATGTGACTTCATGGCATATTCTTGTTCTTTCCATATCGTTGCAAAATAATTCAACTAATGAGATGAGATCTAAATGGAAAGCTTTCTGGCAAGTTTTGCCTTGTTTTGTCCCTGGAGGTTAATTAGTTCGTTGTCCCTAAAGGTTGTTTCAAATGTCAGCGAAAACTTCAAGTTCATTGTCAAAATATTTTAAAACTAAAAATTAGGACGAAAAAGAAACCCTTAACAACATCAACAGTTTCTCTAGTTCACATTAATCATAAAAATTATCATAGTTGTAATAAAAACACATGAAAGGAATGGCCATGGTAATCACGTCCAAATGTTGAACTCAAAAGAAAAAAAAAAGAGCACGTATGAGAAGAAAAGCTTGAACTAAGCACTTCCAAAGAACTACAACTATAGCTTTTGGTGCTCACTTTCCATATCATTCCATTTTCTTTGCAGGACTTTTACCTTAATTGGGAAGCTTTTATATTCTCTAAATCTTTATTTTATGTTGTCTTGTTATGTTTTCAATTTTTCCTTTCTCTATTCTAATTTTTGTATTTTTTTAACATTCGTCTCTTATCATTTCTTCAATGAAAAGGCTCATTTCTAGTTAAAAAAAAAAAAAAAAAAAAAAAAAAAAAAAAAAAAAAAAAAAAAAAAAAAAGATATATATATATATATATATATATATATATATATATATATATATATATCCATAATCATCAAGCTCTTATATAAGAGATGCATGCCTTAATCAGTCGATTCTTGTGATAAACATTGAATCCTTGAACATCTATGTGATGCTTTGCATCCTTCACAAACCCAATGGTTACAACTGCAACCATCTGAGAACAACATCTGCAAGCAGTTAGCACCGCAGAGCATAGCAAATATGAACATTCAAGAAAGAAAAGAAAATCAAGAGCATTACGTTTGTATCTTTGACAACCCCCTCAGCAACTGGCTGAGGTCTGTACGTGACCTCTTGGGACATCATCATATCATTCACTATGTTATGGTGTTCGACATCTCTCCCACGAAGAATAATACGAAAACCAGGAGGAAGCCTCAAATAAAGAATTGAAGCATAACCCTAGAGATTTAATACTTTTTTCGTAAGGAACCAAGCTTGCATTGAGAAAAATAAAAGAAAATAAGGGTATATGAAAAAAAACAAGCTAAAAAACAAAAAGGAGTCCAAGAGCTAACTATATAAATAGACCTCAATCCAACAAAATCAAACCAAGATCATAATTACAAAAGGGAATAGATACCGACGCCCACAAAGACGCATAAAACCTCACCATCTCCCAAACCTCATCATAACACCTCTAACCTCTCTAAAAAAAACCTATATAGTATATCAACAGAATTAATTAATCTCAGTGAATGAAAAAAAAAAAATAATTGCTTTCTTCCATTCACAGAGTAAACAATTCTACCGTCAGCATCTTCTGGTCGCCTTTAAAAGATGAACTCCAAATGCCTTATTTTGAGTTTCCAAATTTCAAATTAGTGAAGACTATTCCAAGCAGTTGCAGAAAAATAGAAGTTAAAACCACGTAGGCAATTATTCAAGCCAAATTAACGGAACATCTGTCTGCTCATTAGTCACATGAAGCATTACCCTCAAAGAATGTCGATAAGTCAAGAAGTGCCGGGAGTTGGGAAATTTTTTTGCCATTTGTATATTCTTCTCATCTCTGTTGACGCCTCTTATTTGGATGTCCTAACAAAATATTGGTTAAGTATTAAATTTAAAGATACTAACAAAATATTGGTTAAGTATTAATTTAAAGATACTGACAAAATTAGTATGCGGTAAAAAAAAAAGTAAAATATATATGTAGTATACATGTTGGTCAGTATCAAAATCCAGTTCCAACTGTCCTTGGTCGTCTTCCCAGAGGTTATATATAATAATGCGAGTTCCATGATCTTTCATCAAATAGAACTGAAAAACATGCCAAGCAACATAATC